GGTGAAGCCTCTGGGGGGGTTGGGACCCCCCCCCTAGCATGTGGTGAAGCCTCTGGGGGGGTCGGACCCCCCCCCTAGCATGTGGTGGGCACCCCCCAGCAGTTTGTGGGCTAGGAATAGCCGCCAGAGAGCCGATTTTGCCCCCAAAGTTGTGAAATCGTGGCTGAAACTCCAATATCTTGGATAATCTGACCAGTCTCAAGGCTCATGTAGCTCCAAAGGATGATTTTCCTCTCGAAAATACTGCGAAATGAGGCGTAAAATCAAGGGCCCGGAGGGTCTGACCACGAGTCTCTGGGGGGGTCCTCGGCCATGACCCCCCCCCCCAGCATGTGGTGAAGGTGCTGGGGGGGTCGGGACCCCCCCCCTAGCATGTGGTGAAGCCTCTGGGGGGGTCGGACCCCCCCCCTAGCATGTGGTGTGAGTAGAAGCGCGCCCCCCTCCCTGGAAGCGATGGTTCGGAACCCGCGCAACAACTGCTTTTTATGGTACCTCGCGTTCTTTAGCAAGCGGGTTCCCAGGCGGTTCTTTTTTTTCACCCCCCGACTGTGCCTCTTTGGTACTGAGAGAGATTTTAGAAAACCAACAAGAAATCTTCTCTCGTGGTAATTATTTTCCCCGGTGTACCTGTGTTAGTGCCAGTGCGCGCCCGTCCCGTGCCTACTCTTGTGCGAGGGTGCGTCAAAGTCTTTTCAGCGCGCATGCGCATGTGAAGTCAATCGTAGATTCTTTTCACCATGCAAATTTTTTTTCACCGCCTTTGCTTCGCGCCGCGCCACGCCCATGTCGGTCGCCGCCGACACCAGCGCCTCGCCGCTCACCGCAGAGTGCGCGCTCGCAAAGTCCGCCAAAGGCGCCGCGTGCGTGCAGCTCGTGGGTCAGGTGCTCGACAACCCCTCGCTGTACGTGTTTGGCGAGCTGCTCGACATGCCAAACGTGCAGGCGCTCGCCGACGGCCCTCCCGCGCACGCCGCCGCGTACGAGCTCCTCAAGATCTTCGCGTACGGCACGTGGAAGGACTACACGGCGCGCGCGGCGCAGCTCGGCCAGCTCTCCGCCGCGCAGGTGTGCCGCGCGGCAAGGGCGGGCGGCGACCTAAGCCCT